CCTCCCAAGGTTCTGTCTCTTCTGGAGCTCCTACCTCAGTGGTGTCAGAGGGACCCCACGGCTGGTCACCTTTCTCACCATCAGACGTGTGGCTGGGGTCCTGGTCCATCCCATTCACCTCTAATGACAGCTGAGCACAGTGGTCACACCTGTAATCCCAGCCACTCAGCGACTTGGAAGGAGGAGGCAGGATTGCAAGTTCAAAGCCAGCCTCAACGACTTAGCCAGGCCCTACGCCACGCAGTGAGATCCTGTCTCAAAATAAAAGATAAAAGGTCTGGGGGTGTGGCTCAGTGGTTAAACACCCCTGGGTTCAGTCCCTGGTACCCCTATAAATAAAGGATTAAAGACGTCGTGACAGTGACACTCATTATACATGTCCTCGACTCCTCACATCATTTCTTGGTTTTTGGTTTTATACTTTGTTAGACTTTGGTGGCTTCTGGGGGTTGGAAGACTCAGGACATTGTCCCCTGGTTGCCTTAGCTAGAAGGATTGAAAAAGAGCACTAATTTTGGTGGTGGAGGGACAGAGGGGTGAGTGGAGTCTGTCAGTTTTCTTTGAGAACAGAAACGGCCCTGGAAGGGGCTGGACGCCATCTTGCAGGTGCAGCTGCAGGGAGGAGGGGCAGGGTCCCCGGGCAGGTGGAGGTGAGGAGTCACACGCCAGTCCCCTTCCCGATTAAGTGGTCCGTTGGGTACGTGATCGTGGGGTTTCCTCGTGTGTTGCTTTTGTACTTGTGATTTTATGACATTCGAAGTTTTCCTGTCTTACCTCTTTTTAACTGATTTTTTCGGTTGCTTCCTTTTTCTTTGTTGATAATTCCATACAGAGATTTCAATTCTTGAAACACATTAAAATGATCTGCCTGCCAGGTGCGGTGGATTTTGTGGTCACATTCCCAGGCTTGTGTGGTTCTTCAGTGGCCTTTTTTCCTGTTTTCTCTGCACATATGAGAAGGAACCCCTGCGCCATCAGCGAGGAGTGTGACTTGGAGAGGAGCCCGGCTTCCCGTCAGGGCCGGGAGCTGGGCTCTTCCGTCGGCCTGCTTTACTGAGCCTCCGGTTGCTGTGTTCACCCGGGAGTTTCATTCAGGCCTCTGACTGCAGCACTGCGTCCGTCCCCGTGACCTGCAGTGACACCGTTTGCTTCATTGTGTGAGTTGGGGTGATTTGATTAGAAAAGAAGCCTAGACACCAGGGAAGGAGCCTGTGACAAGCACTGGGTTATTTTTAGAGGCTGCCGTTTCCTCTGGGGCCTGAGAGGAGGCTGGCTCTCCGCCCGCAGAGAAGCCCCTTCCTGTGTGGTCACTGGCCCTTCAGCACCTGGATGAGGAAGGGAGGCTCCTGCACACCCGTCACCTGCCAAACCTGGTCCAGGAGCTGCCCAGACAGGCCTTGTGGCCAGCCAGTGGCCAGCCCAGGCCCCGGCCCCGCGCTCCTCCCTTCCCCCTCTGCCCCAGGCTCCAGATGAAAGTTCAGGCAACTCCAAAGCTCAGGGTAATGACCTTGCCCAGGCTGGGGTTGCTAGCCAC